CATTGATTGTGTGAATGAGAAACCATTTTAAAGTTTTGAGAGACAGATGATGTGATTTTTAAAAAGATCAGTCTGGCTGCTAGGCAGAGTCCATTTGAAGGCAGCAAGTGTGGAAGCCAGCAGCTCAGTTAGGAGGCTATTCAGTATGCTATGCAATAAAAGATGATGGCCTGGACCAATGAGTGGTAGCAGTGGGAGGTGGTGAGAAATGGTCAGATTTGAGATCTCTTTTGAAGGTAGAGCCAATGGGATTTTTCTGATGGATTGGAAGTGAGATATAAGACGAAGAGCAGAGTCAAGGGTGACTCTAGTATTTATGGCCTGAGCAACTGGGTGAGTGGTGGAATCTTTGACTGGGATAGAACAGGAGCAGGATTCAGGGAGGGTAATCAGGACTTCTCATGGGAAGATACTTCATTAGAGGTGTTCAGGGTGACATTTGGCTTGTTGCCTCTTTTCTGATTCTTAGAAAATTGAAACTTAGATTTTATGCCACTTTCAAGATAAGAATGAGTAATCGCTCCCTAAAACAGATCATGGTATTAATGAAATGGTCCTAAGTTGGAAATGAAACAATTAATGTGGTATCAATCATCAAGACAGACTTTAGTAAATCATGTAAACTAATTTGGTCAATAGAAAGCTTATTGAACTTCTTTTTTTAAAAAAATAATTTATTTTATTTATTTTGTTGTTGTTGAAAATATACATAGCAAAACACACACCAATTCAACAGGTTCTACACGTACAACTCAGTGACACTGATCGCGTTCTTCAAGTTATGCAACCATTTCACTCTCCTTTTCTGAGTTGTTCTTCCTCCATTAACATAAATTCACTGCCCCCTAAGGTTCCTATCTAGTATTTTGAGTTGCTGTTGTCCATTTGATCCTATATAGGTAGTTCTTAAAAGTGCATAATGCTCAGGGCAGACATTTTTTACTAGTTAAGCTAAACTATTATTTGGTTTTAAGAAGACCTCAGGGGATATTTTTGGTTTAAGGTTTAAAGAGTCTCTCAGGGCAATAGTTTTGGGGTTAGGGTAAATTTTTTAAGAATCATTATCTTCCTACATTGCTGTTTACATTAGTTTGCTAAATATCTCTATTTTTTCCCTAGGACTTCTGGAAGGAGAGTCTGCCCTAAGAACTTGCTGAAAATGTAAGCTCCTGGTTGATAAAAATAAAACCAGATGTTGATAACTTTGGGCTTATTTCTCAACTCATGTTAACTCAGCTCCACCCTTCCTCAGGCTCTAAGGAAAGTTTGTTGTGAGAAATGGTTCAAAACTCATCTTTAAATTAAAAACTGAACATTTAAATAGAGTCATTGAGAACTGGGAAAACCTGATATAAAATAACTTCGAATTCGAATGTAAATACTGAAGTGTTCTAGCTATGAGGTGTCATTAGAAATTCAAATGAGAAAACATATCTGCTTTCTAGGTCAACACACACACACTAAAAGCCTAATATTTAATAATTATTTGAAAAGAGAACCAGAATAGAAAAAAATCAGACATGTTTAAGTAACTCAACTCTAAACTAGGGATAAGCAAGCTGCCCGGCCTCCTTCACAGGTTTGTTTGTGAAAACATTTTAAATTGTACAGCATTATACAAATTTAGGAGCCCTGGTGCCGTGGTGGTTAAGAGCTCAGCTGCTAACCAAAAGGTTGGCAGTTCGAATCCACAGCTGCTTCTCTGAAACCCTATGGGGCAGTTCTACTCTGTTCTGTAGGGTTGCTATGAATCAGAATCGACTCAATGGCAAGGGGTTTGGTTTTGGTTTTTGATACAAATTTAAGGTAATTTCTTCTGCTGGTATACAATTATTATGCCTAGAATATACTCTAGAGAAGAATAATTGACAAAATTAAAATCAACCCTCTAGCACCAACATTTACCTGTTTGCCTTGCCTCTTATATCCCATGATGGCACACAAATGAAATATCAAAATCAATTCTTTCGGAGAAACTCTTTTTGGGCCAAGAACCAAATCCTAGTACATAGGAACCAAATCCTAGTACATAGGAACCAGTCCTGAAAAATTGGGTACCGATCCCCTTTTTAAAATTGGCTGCAGATGGGATGCACTTTGAGGTAAACCCTTCTTCACTGTTATTCATTTTTTCACTATTTACAATGATCATCTCCATCTTAGTTTTATTTCTAGTCTATTTTTGGTGTGAATGGCATTAGTAATTTAATACATCAGCATACCGCATTACCAGAGTATAGGGTAATATATCACTAATAATATGCAAAAAACATGGTTAAGTTCATTCTCTCAAAGATCTTTCAATCTGAAAGAGGAAAATGGCAGATAAAAAAATAAATACAAATATGTATGAGTTAGAATAGAACGTTGGAATAAAGAAGCAGAGCAGAGGTAATATCTAGTTAGTGGGAGTTAGTGGGAATCTGTTTAATTAGGGAAGTTCCTTAAAGGGCAGGGATTAAAGGAATGAAAAGATTTCTAGACAACAGGCCAAAGATGAGTAGGCCATTCTCTTAACTACTGTTGTAATGGAGTCTGGTAAAGGTAGGAAGGTGGGAAAGAAAGTAGAGATTTAGTTTGAGTGAGAGAAAACTATGAAGAGTATGTTTTCATACACATAAGAGGATAAATAGATAGGAAAGAACTAGTGTGAAGGATACTGAAGCCAGAGTCCAAAGTTAGTATTTAATCTGAAAGACAGCAAAGGAATAGTGTAAAAGTTATGACCTATATGTAGAACGGCTAATGAAAGGCAAGCAAGAAGACTGCAGAAACCTAGGTCCAAAGAAGGGTTTTGGTGGTAGTTACAAAAACGACAGGAATGGGAAGTTTTATTTCATTCTCAAGTTCTCATCATCCATACAGAACTTAGTTGTTCTATAGGAAATCCCAAACGAGAAATATTTGTTGATCCCCATTAGCTCAAAAATTAATTTTAAATAGGAAACATACAGAACAAAATTAACATTTTCAGCATTTACCAAGATGACTTTAAGAATTCTTTACTGACTGTAGGTAAATATTCACACCAACTTCTGTGCCCACCAAAATATGTCCGTTGGAAATAAGGGCTTAAATTTTTAAAAAACACCATGCTGTCTATACTTGAGTTGTTCTCTTTAAGAAAATGCACAATGTTCTAGTTTTAAAAGCACTGTGTCAACTATGAACACCATAGGAATTTAAGAAAATATCTCCATGGTGCTTGATTCTTCATTTACTAGGAGAGGGGAAGAAAATATTTAGAAAACCCTTTCATTTGTCTATCTTGTTATAGGCAATAACACCATGAGATTAGCAACACCTTTGTCAAATCTCAATGTGAATGAAGGAAATTAATTAAGCTGGGGTTAGAGGTACCATTTGCAGGTTAGTGAACACAGTCCATTACTCCTGTTTCATACAATAATTAGCTGTTGAAAAAATTTAGTAGTCACATTTTCATATATTAATATGAATTCATTAAAGCCCTTTCAAAATAAAACCTGATTTACCTATGTCATTTCTTCAAAAGTAAATTTGCAAAAACCATTTTTATGAGTTCCAAAGCCCAGACTGAATTATTATCCATTCAATGTCTTGTGTCCATGAATTAGGGCATTGAGTCGTGTTCTACTGAATATGTGCGTTTGTAGGCACATTTATTAGAGGCATGTAATGGAAACACGTAAAAGAGTTTGTATTCTAAATTATAAATATATGGAAGGCTGGAGTTTTAACACAGTACTATGAGTTAGCCATTATTATGGCATTAGCCATACTCTATAAGTAGGGATAGAGACAAACTTCCAGAATTTGGACAGTGTCCAACTGCTTGTTTCATAGTCCATTATTGTAAGATTCTGTAATGACTATAATTTTGTTTCTTGACACCTCACTTAGTGTCCACATATTTCAGATTTTCTGGGTAACTTTTATTTTAAATATTTTGCTCTTTGTCAAATCATGTATCAGATAGCATATCTTAATTTCTGTATTTAAAAAAAATCATTTATTTATAATTATTGACCTTTTTAATTTCCTAGAATAGCACTGTGGGTTTTATCTGAACTTAAGAGCTATTTTTAAAGGGAGACTATAATGTTATGACAAATTTTTAAGTCAGAGCGTGTAGAATTCATTTTATTATTCTTAAGGTGAAAGTAATTGAATCATAATATTTTGAGAAGGAAAACTGGGTAGCTGTTTGTTTCTTTCAAACTGAATGATGCCAATATCCTTAACGCGTGTGAGTAAAAGTCTGTTGATAAGATAATAAAATTTCTTAACACCATTACTGCAGTGTTCACTTTTGGGAATGAAAATACAGAATAATCCATCTTCTCTTTTTCTTTGCTTATATGACTTTTAAATATAAATCAAGATGTGCATCTAATTACTGCTAATAGTGCATGTACTGGGCCAAACACTTGCTACTGACTGTCAAGTGTCTTTCTGATGTAGCTGAAAAGGGAGAGAGAGAGAGAAAGGAGAAAGAAACAGCAATGTCCTTTGAGCAAGACTTTCTGCAGCTGTTGTGTACATTAATCCAGGGAGCCGATCTTCCAACACTAAATATAGCAAGCATATCCTTTTACATGATAAAAAAGATTTTAAATGAAAGTCTTTAACTATGGAGTCATGATATTTTAGATTTGATTTCCTTTAAAAAGGAAGTAGACATTCCACACATATTCTCTAGATAAACACTATTATTTTAATAAATGAATGTGTAGGAAATGCCAATGATGCATACAACATCGCACGACTTCCTCTGTTGAGATATTTTTCCTTAGGACCCAAGTAAGGTGTCATCTCTGTGAGTCTCATCAATCCCCTCCAAAGTTTTTACATGTAGAAAGCTTTATTTTTCACCTAATTGGGTGTACCGTCATACATAATTAGAAAGTTACCCTAGGTTTTGCTCTAAGCAACAGTAATTAGCTCTCTGAAATATCCCTTTTCCCATTGTCAGTGCCCTGTTATCAAAACACACTTGTGAACTTAAATCTGGATATTACCTTTCTTTTTTTAGTTGACCCAGATGAGGATGTCCAATCCAGGCACTCCACTGTGATGATAATTATCCAAGGAGAACTTTTAGACGGAAGCACAGTAGAAAAAGAAAATTCTTCAGGCCCTTAGAAACCAAGAGTAACCGTCCATAGACAGTGAGGAGTTAACCTTAGATTCAGTGAAGATGGCTGTAAGAGGCTGGACAACCTGTCACCACCGAAGCCAGAGCATTTGTCAGCTCGCAGGTCCCAAGTTATTTTGAGCTGTATAAACCATGTGCCTGTGAAACATTCCACCTGATTGGGCAGGAGAAAACTGAGCAAAGGGATTCCATGGAAGGACAGCACCTATGGTGGTGGGGGGGGGGGTAAATCCATTTTTCTACCTATACAATGTCACTTATAGACAGAGGTCCAAGCTGTTTACTGATTTATATTTGGAATTAGTACTAAATCCATTCCGTCTGTCAAAGAAAATGGCATAATTTGTAAAATGTTCCAAAATTCTTAATTCTGACGAAAAAATGTTAACAGCCTTAATTTTAATTAATGGGAAATTTACTCGTATTTATTTAATCACGGATATATTTTAGGAAATTAGGCTATGAAAAGCCAATACAAAGCTGAGGTCTAACTGAGAGTTAGCTGAGAGTCTTTTTTTTTTTTTAATAACTGTTTGTCCAAAGGTTAAGCAAAAGCAGAGAGGAGAGCTAACATTTCAAGTTCGTAATTAGAGATCTCAGAAACAATGCAGAGGAAGAAACCATCAGCCTGAAACAGACCAGGGACAACTAGTTTGAACAAACATTTTCAGAGGAAAAAATTTGATATTGTTTAAAAGTCAAAATGACTATATAACATATTATAATTCCTGTTTGTGTACTGGTCCCTGGGGACACATTTTTGTATATTATTTTGAAAACGTTTATGCCAGATGTTTTCTTTCACAAGCATTACCAATCAGTAAGAAAGAATCCTTAACCAAACCAATAACTGCTCAAATACCTACTTTGTAAAATATAGGTTCTTAGATATTAATTTCATACATTTTCAGAAATATGAATTTGGGGAAAAAGTTAGCTCCATTGCTTAATACAGATTAAGTGATGCTATAACTTTATCAATCTTGATAGACACCTGAGCTTTGAAAATTCAGACTTAAATGCCATTGATCATTTTTTAAAAGGATCATTCTTACAGCGTGAAGTATACCGATTTAAATCTATCAATTCAATCATACAATTGCTTGTAGGATTTCTTCCCAAATATTCATTCATTCAACAAATATTTATTGAATGCCTACTATAATGACAGGCTCTGGGTATAAAGCAAGGAACTCTAGTGGTGTAGTGGTTAAAGCACTCGGCTGCTAACTGAAAGGTCAGCAGTTCAAACCCAAAGGTGCTCTGTGGAAAAAAGATGTGATAGTCTGATTCTATATAGATGACAGCCTTGGAAATCCTATGATGCGGTTCTACTCTGTTCTATAGGGCCGCTATGAGTCAGAATCGACTCGACGGCAGTGGATTTGGTTTGAGTTTTGGGTATAAAGCAGTGCACAAATCAGACAAAAATTCCTGACCTGATGGGATTTACTGAGAGATCTTTTTATCCTCTTCAGTCATCTTGAGACCTTGTACATTGAATAGATATAAAATTTGTTTGTTTATTATGATCACATCAGAGGTTTCACTATACCTTTTGTTTCTGGGTTTTGGGTTTACATAAATAAAGTGGAAAAGAGAGTTGAGGAAAACTTAAATAATCCAGATCAAAAGAACTATTACTGAGGAAGGAAAAAGGTCCAGGAGGAACTAAATCATCTGGGTAGGTTATTTTCATTACCGCAGTAATCCAGCTCTTCCATGAACAGGTTCATTTGCTCCCACCTAATTCTGTGCTGATACTCATATCAGACTGCTTTATTGTATTTCTGCATTCCTACTTATGTAGATGCCCCAACAATTTCTTTTTATTCAAAGAGAAGATCTTCCCTCAATATCCCATTTATATCTTAAGGCAAAACCAATACAAGTGCTGCTAAGTCTTCGGTGGGGACATGGGAGAGTTAAACCTCTATCTCAGGTAGCTAACAGGTGTGCTACAAATTGATCTTCCAAAGGAAAATGCTTACACACACTGTAAGTGAACACACCTTCACTTCCTTGTGCCTGAGAAGCCTGGTATCCTACCTTTCACCCAGGTATAGAATACGCACGTGAGAGGAGATCCATACTGAAAGACAGAATAGAGTTGGTTGGGCAGTGGAATTAGGAATCAATATGCAGACCAGAATAGGTTGAAAATGCTAAAGAAGGGTTACAGAAGAAAATCCAAAGAAATTCTGAATGGCAGTAATCTTTCTCTTCTCATTTTTACTGTATCATTTTCAATACGAATAGTATACAAAATTTTTTTAGCTCTTTGGAAAAAAGCTGGATATAAATACCTTAAATTAATAACATTCAGCAACTGTGGACACCCTGCTTACAATACACCAGACTCATATTGTAGATTTTCATTTTTAAAATTAGCTTCTGCCCCCAAATAAACTCAGTTCCTACCCTGCTTCTCATCAGTAGTAATTATATAAACATTATTCCGCAAACCTACTAGAAGTTCAGGTTTTACCAGAGTTTATTGGTACAAAGAAAAATCTTTAAAACTTTTAAAACATAGTTAAAAGCAAACTCCATAAGTGACATGCAAACACAAGGGTACATGTCTTAAGGCTTCACCATGAAGTTGAGTGGCCCCCTCCAACACACGTGTTTATTGTGGTTTGAACATGAGCCTGTGCTTGCCTTCAGCTGTTTTCTTAATTCAGTCACTCAGCTACAGAAACAATTTACTCACATTGGGATGATCCACAGGAATGCCAAGGAATCTGGAAGATCTATGACAAAGGAAGTCTTCACTTGGAGGATAAGCATGTGAAAATTTCCGTGCAAGTAGATTCATACAAACTTTTTGTATTTTCTAAGTTTTCTTATTTCTAGATTTTTAACTCTCTAAAAAAATTGCTCACCAAATATCAAAATTTTAATAAGTTTTATTTGAATTTGGTAGATTTATATTGAGGTACCCTTCTCCAGTATCAGATGAAAACACACACACACACACACACACACACACACACACACAAACTCTGTCCTATTTTTAAAGAACAAAGATGTATGTATTTTCTAACCTTCTTTAATAAGAAAAATTCTTACACCAGAGACAAGTTCTTGATCATCCAAAATGATAGATGGTGGATTATAGAGGGTCTTATACAAACCCCGTAATAGAATATAATTCAGATATACAACTAAATCCTTATAAAAATTTCTTTTTAACCTAAATGGTCTTGAAAATGCTTGCCTGGGAAAACTGAAATCATTTTAAAAACTATTTACAAGTTCAAAACCTACTTAGTTTTAAAAACCAAAAACATTTTTAAAAACTATATACAGAGTACCTGTTTGAAAACGTTATCCTGAAGAGTAAATTTTCTAGTTACCTGTCTCAGGAGAAGCACCATTCCTATATCAACCAGCCAGGATCATCCAATGTCCAACTCTCACTGTCTAACTTGTGTCTGCCACAAAGTAACATGAAGGAAATGTGATATTGCCTCGCCAGAGCAATGAGGGGTATTTACAGGGTTCCGTTGCAGATCTCGGGACAGTCATTTAGAACAGATTGCGCCTTCAGATCACTTTAATAACTCAGTCTGCACGATGTTCTTAGCCTGCAGGGATGGTGGGGGTGGATAATGACTAAGATAACTAAGGAAATAGGCTTTCTGGATCTCTCCTTAGACTAGATTAAAATTATAATAATAAAGACATTATTATTATAGTGTAAGGAATGCACAAGATAGCCATACCTTTATTAAAATAAATATGCGAAAGCAACAATTATTATAATACTTAATACTTGCTTCCCCAATTCTAGGGTAATTGGATTAAAGCTTTACCATGTGGTTTCCATTAAAACATAATAAGCCTTCCTTTACTTCTGCTTTTGATATGTACTACAGTTCAGATGTTTCTTAAAAAGTATTATTTCCAAGAAGGAAATCTGTTCCCAGAATTTTTTAAAAGAGCATTCGGTGACTAACACTAAGTTAGTGAAGAAATTCAAAACAATTAGTATCCTGGGTGTACTCCTGAAGGGGTACGGTTGTTTCCCACTTCTCATCACATCCATATAATGATTATATTAACCCACAGAGTTAAATATATCATCTGGGTAATAATAAGTTAACATTTGTTAGATCTGTGCTAAGCACTATGTTAAGCTCTTTATGTATATTGTGCTTTATTTCATGTATTCCCTCAACAATCTATGAAGTAGGTACTACTATAAGTCTCATTGTACAGATGAGAACTTGGGGTTTAAAACCAGGTTAAAAACTTGCCCAAGGTCACACAACAAGTAAGTGACTGAGCCAGGATTGAACTAATGCTGACTCTAAGTCTGTGTAAGTAGTTGCACTGCAATTATTTAAATATCCACATTTCTAACGTTTTTGTGAAAAAATTAAGGGTAAAAAAATGAATATAAAACATGTTCTCTCTTCTAGTAAGTATTCTAAAGGAATGTTATTTAAGACTTTAAGTTAATACTTTTTTTGACTGAAACCAACCCTGAAAATCTTTTGCATGATTAAAAAAAAAAAAAACAAGGAAGAAAACGCAAAAGCTTTCAAATACATTCTGTCTGCAATATTTTAGCAAGGAAAACGAATTGATATGAAGTCTGGCGCATCAGGCATTAACACTGAAAGGCAGGGCACTAGAAGGCAGGCTGAAGGCTTTGGTAGACCTATTTTTTTGCTTGTATTTATTATAGTCACTGTGCTGAGACAATTTAATATCTTTGATCTTTTGAAACTAAATTTAAATGCTTTAGTGCTATCTCTTAGCACAACAACAGGGGTTAATAAATTTTTTGTGAGTTAGGGGTAGGAAAATATAAGTTTGAATATTCTCTTTTCATAGCCTTAGCACTGAATATCTTAAATGCCAGCATGCCAGGCTCTGGGTGATTCCACTCAGATTCTATTTTGGGGCAGCATGAACATCTCAGAAAGTTAAAAACAAAGTTCAGTGTTCTTACGCATGACCCAGATAATCCTATGAACACTAATGATGTGTGAGGTAAAGGAAATGGGAATTAAGCTTTCTTGTGAGATTACTTTAAGCTGGGCGTAGCCTAAGTTTTCTCATTTACTGCAAAGTATGTTATCTGCATGTTACAAGGAGAAAACGAAGGACCAAAAAGTTTCACTTTGCCAAAGCTGCCCAATCTGTGAGCTGCACAGCTCGGTGGATACAAACCTAGGCCTTTTTAGTTTAAAACACATTCTCTTTTTCATTAGCCCCCTCTGCTCTCTCATGAAGGTTCATTAACAGAAGCAAGAAGACAAACAGAAAAATAGTATGTGATTAAGTCTAGGACTATTTTCACATAGAAAACCCAATAAAATTGGTTGACTGTAATACAAGGGCTAATACATATTTCTGAGAAGTTCTCATCTTATTATATGAAATTATCTGCTGCAAAAGACCTCTTTCAAGTGTTAAAAAGCAAAGATGTCACTTTGAGGACTAAGGTGCACCTGACCCAAGCCATGGTATTTTCAATCGCCTCATATGCATGGGAAAGCTGGACAATGAACAAGAAAGACTGAAAAATTGATGCCTTTGAATCATGGTGTTGGCACAGAATATTGAATATACCATGGACTTTCAGAAGAATGAACAAATCTGTCTTAGAAGAAATACTGCCAGAATGCTCCTCAGAAGCGAGGATGGCGAGACTTGTCTCACCGACTTTGGACATGTTACCAGGAGGGAACAGTTCCTCGAGAAGGACATCATGCTTGGTAGAGGGTCAGAGAAAAAGAGGAAGACCCTTAACGAGATGGACTGACACAGTGGCTGCAACAATGGGCTCAAACATAATAGCGATTGTGAGGATGGTGCAGGACTGGGCAGTGTTTTGTTCTGTTGTACATGGAGTCTCTGTGACTTGGAACCTGCTCCACGGCACCTAACAACAACAACAACATCATGAAGTTAGTAAACACTGATTGGGAGCAACTTTTTGCCAAGGAGGGAAGAGAGAAAGAGAAGAGCTTGGAGATTATAAACCATGGAAAATTCAAAAGCAATTTGTATTTTATATCCCTATCCAAGTTCACATTTATCCCCCCCACCCCCTTAAATGGATCTATCTGCTTGGCGTTTTCTTAAAATTTAGAAAACTTCTTATTAAATAAAGGCAGCATACCTTTATGTAGGAATACCTAGAAAACCTCCCCACCCCCTTTTATATTCATTCTGCTCATCTCCAAGTTGCTCTTCATTCCAAACTGAGAATCCATTAGTTAAAGCCCAGTCTAAACAAGTCTCTTGGTTCAAGATAACTATTATGTATGTTAATATCTTAAAATTCCTTTCCTTTCATCTAGCCTAGGCCAAACCAAAAACCCAAGCCCATTGCTGTGGATTCAAACTGTCGACCTTTGCGGTTAGTAGCCGAGTTCTTAACCACTGAGCCAGCAGGGCTTGCTTTCATTTAAAATGTAGGTGATAATGTCAATAAAAGGAATAAGTAAGCAGACAATGTCAGAGAGAAGTTAAAACACAAATATTTACCACAGTGTAAATTGCCCTGGGGATAAAACTATTTGTAGGTAGTCTACTGGCCTGACCCATAAAAACAAACAAACTTGTTGCTGTTAGGTCAATTTCGACTCACAGTCACCCTATAGGACAGAGTAGAATTGCTCCATAGGGTTTACAAGGAGCTGCTGGTGGATTTGAACTGCCGACTTTTAGGTTAGCAGCCAAGCTCTTAACCACTGTGCCACCAGGGCTCCACTGGCCTGACAGTATTGTGCAAATTTCAGTCAAGAATAAGAAAAGCCTTGGTATAATCAGAATGGAATCATCATTATCCTATAAAATATGAGCAACTTTTCCCATCTTACCTGCCACTCTGCTATGCAAATCCTTGCCTCTAACAAAAAATTTCCATTTCCTTGCCTTCTCTTTTCTCCATTCCTTTGTTCACAGTTTCTTCCACTTATGTGATTAAACAACTAGTGGCTGCAACATTTCTTATACTGCTATACTGAATTGTTTAATTTTTCATCTATGTATTTATGTCTTATTTACTCCACTAGATCAACTCCTTGATGATTAAAGCCTTAAATTTTTTTTCTTTATAGGCTACACAGCTCTAATCTCAAGCCACAACACAAAGTAGGCACTTAATAAATATTTGTGTTTGGTTTGCCATAAAACAGACATAGGAATGTTGAATTGTGCTAAATGACTCTTTCAATTAAACAAATATTGACTGAACACTTACTGTGTGCCAGGAAAGATCAAATGGCTTAAACTCTCAGCAACGCCAACTGATTTAATTGTTATAATATTTATTTAACATAGAAATACTGTTAAGAATTAAGGCAAATGAAGAAGGGAGCTAAAAGTGATTGGGTGCCCACTTTGCAAGTCACCAAATGAGGAACTAAATGTGCTCAATGGATGCTCCCAATTCCTGAGATAATTGGTATGGGGAACCCTTGCTTTTAGAAAAGGCTTGGTTCTTCCATAGGTGCTTTCATACCCTTGCATCCTCCCAAACTGGCTTACTCTAATTTTTTCTGCCCACCTTTGCGCATCCTTTGCTTGATATCAGGTCCTTGCTTTCTGCCAACCTCATAAAAATCAGACTGCTTTTGCCTCTGCTGGTTGCTTCTCTTGAGTCTTGGGCCCCAATGCCCATTACTGAAAGGTAGCTTTGTCTACTCTCCTGCCCTGGTTTTGGAGATCCTAGCTCAAGCCACAGACTGAGCTCCCTATTTGCCCAGAAATAAAGAATAAACATAAAGCACACCTAGTATTCTCTAATTTAGATCAAGTCTTCAACTATTTTATAACTGGTTTCAAATTGGACATGCTCCCTGAAAAGCAGATAAGCCAGAATGAATTATTTAGCTTTCTGAGTGACCCTAGCAGACCAAGCCAAGCATCCACATCAACCAAGCTTTATTGTTAGTTTTCCATATATAATTTAATTTATACAACAATCCAGGAGGCATGGGTCATTATCCCCACTTTATGGAGAATGAAACTGAAAAAATTATATGCTATAGTAGTTTTTGCAAATTTGAGGATTTGAAAAAGTTTCAAGAAGTACATCTTCAGATTGTCCAAGTGTACTTCAATGTACCAAAAACTTCTTCCTTAGCTACTATGGGGATATCTCATAAACTACAGACCTATTTTTAAAAATTTCTCATCTGCTTTATAATTTTGCATGAATAGTAGGTGAAAAGAATCCAATTACTATTACTGCCTACTTGGTGGTTTTTCACTGTGTTTGTGTTGGGATGGAGTGATTGAAAGGGTTTTATTTGATTTGATTTTCTTTATTGATTTAGAAAGTAGAGCACAGAATGCTTCTAAGCTCAGGTAAAATTTAGCTCAAACAACAAAAAAAAATAGATGAGCGCAAAGGCCATTGTAAAACCAAGATCTAAATTCAGAATAATGATGCACATGA